CATCTATGGCAGGTCTCCTCTGACCTCACCTCTGAGGATGCTTGCCATAGATGCAGGCGAAACGTCAGGAGAAATGCCTCTAGAACATGGCCATATAGCCCGAAAAAACCCACAAGAACTTAGTTATTGTTTCATCTAATGCAAAGTCTCACTCTCATCCCTATACCTCAATATAAATAAAGCAAGGCTCCTGAACACAAAAGGTGGCAGCAGAAATAGACAGCCCTTACTGGATCCTTTATATATTGTGATGGCAGAGGTGGGATCTCAGAACTCCCCCCTGCCTGATAGGTCCTTTATATTTTTGGTGGGATATCAAAGAATAGGAGGATATCTCAAATAGCTGGCCAGAGAGAAGGGAATTCGTTTCGGTTAGCCTATGGATCTGTATTGAAATTATGGAACCAGTTGTGAGCCATGCACATTGACCATTTACCCACATACTTTGCATTACCATTGAGCCACAAACGTTGACATTATAGGGGTGGCATTCTGTTGGTGGACATTTATACCACACTGAAGTAGTATAGGATCTCAGCCTGTAACTATCCTTTTTTCTTGGTTTTTAAATGACTTATAGACAAGGTGAGTTTGGACAAATCTCTATGGTTCTTGTACCTATCTGGACTCAAAGTCCATCCAAAAGCCACCTGACATGTGCAATCCACATGCATACTCTTGTGTGTGGGAAGGCCATATGATATGTGCCAAATTTGCCTCCACTGCTCCACAGAAACATAACAAAGCCGTTTTAATGGGACAATGCTCTTTGTTTCCAGTGTTAGTGCAGTGCAGAGCAATGTAGGAATTAGTGATCCAGATCTGAATCTCTGCTCAGTCATGAAAACTCCTGGTCAAAATTTGGCCATTGCTTTCTTGATGTTCAACTTACTTCAGTAATTGATGTGGGGGGTGATAGTATGTGTGTTTCATGCATGTCATCCTAAGATCACTGAATTATTGTTGCCATTAACTGCCATCAAATCAAACTTGTCTTATGGTGATCTTATGAATGAGCGACCTTAAAGTCAATCTGCCATAAACAGTCCTTCTCTGGTTTTGCAGAGTCAGATCCACTAGTTTCTTGACTGAATTAATCCACCTGGAATACAGTCTTCCTCTTTTCCTGAAACCTTCTTCCTTTCTAGTTTGCGTTTTCTAGTTTGTTTGTTTTTGTCGTGTCAGGAGCAACTTGAGAAACTGCAAGTCGCTTCTGGTGTGAGAGAATTGGCCGTCTGCAAGGACATTGCCCAGGGGACGCCCGGATGATTTGATGTTTTTATCATCCTTGTGGGAGGCTTCTCTCATGTCCCCGCATAAGGAGCTGGAGCTGATAGTGGGAGCTCATCTGCCTCTCCCGCCTCTCTCTGGATTCGAACTGGGATCAATTTATTATTTTCTTTAGCAGCTCAGAGTAGCAATACAACTCTTAACTTCTTATCAACTTTCTCCAGGGTCCACTTTTCACAATCATATATTGAAATACAATGGCATGGAAAACCTAATTTTAGTTTTCAGTGATATATCTTTACTATTTACATTTTAAAGGAAAATCAGGGTAAGTTCTAAATGTGAGTTCTATGCAATGACCTTATGTAAACATTACATCTAGAGCAGTGGTTCCCACCCTTTTTTTGACCAGGGACCACTTTGACCAGGGACCACTATCCAACATTAGTATCAAAAGGGTTACGAATCAGATTATGGTCAACTTTAGATTCGGTTTGGTTATTTGGGGTGCTGCTTCAGAAAACTGCATTGGATAGACCACATCAGCTCTAGTTTCTGATACAGAACATATGCCATCCAGTAGTCACCATCTGCTCACCTACAAAAAACCATATTTAATAATCTAGAGCCATGAAGCTTATTTTAGGTCTCATGGCCCACCAATTGACCATGGCCAACAGGTTGGGAACCAGTGATCTGGAGCATGGTAGTCTTGTAGACATGGATCCAGTTGATATCTTGCTGTATCAAGAAAAAATGGTGGTCAAATGAAATTATATTATTATTTACAAACATGTGTATTTTAATTTTATTACGTATATTATTTATAAGTGATAAGCGTCCATAAATTGATGGGAAATCTCAATAGATCTATCTATCTATCTATCCATCCATCCATCCATCCATCCATCTTCACAAACACAGCAATGGCATGTCTAGCCAACTCTTTGGTGCAGAGCTCCCAGCTTGATCTGGTTTTAATTATGCTGAATTCTGTGTGAAGATAAGTGCTTAAGCTTAGAGTTGTTGACACTGGAAATGGCCCAGTCTAGCCTGGGGTGGATATTAGGGAAGGGAACTTGGCTTTTGTAACTATCACCACATCATGTGTTGCGCAAATGTTCGCTTTAGTTGTAGGTAATGGATTTCCGACAGCATCTGGGATCTTTCTCTGGCATGTCTAATCTGGAATAATATATGACCCAAGCACTTTGCAGTATAGGATTTCCCCACATTTGCAAATAATTAATATTGTTTTAATTCTTGGCTTAAATGTGGGAAGGAAAAAAAGACATGCATTTAGTCTTGAGCAATGCTACCTACCTGGTCCTATTACCAATTGGCCACAGCCACCCATATTGACTAGAATAGTGCCATGTACTTTATTTAAAAATGCCTGTCCCCTATCTATCAACAGGTATTGGACAGCAATTTACTTCTGCCTTGTCTGCCTGTTAGATCCTAGGCCCATTTCTAGCTAATATTTATGACCTTAACAGTATGTGCTCTGAGTATGTTGGGGAGTACTTCTGCTGCATACCCTACATACTCATGTATTAGTCTAGAATTTTTAGCCAAAGCAACCCAAAAAAACTGGATTGATTTGTCCATGAGTCAAAGTGAGTGCTGTACCTTAACCTTTATCAAAAAAGGAACCACCCCTTCTTCTGAACAGAGTGGCGACAGGTAAGGAATAGGTTGCCGAAAGATGTACTGACCCCTTCTACCTGCTCTGCTTCTGGTCTTTTTAAATGCCTGGGTGCGGAAATAGTAATGGTGAGCAGAGGTGGCTGACCCTGAGTTAACACTGTTTTGCTCTCTCCATGGAATGATCCTTGACTTATTCATGGAGCATATCAAAAACTATAATTTTGGCCCTAAAACCCACCTTGAACTTATATATGAGGTTGACTTATACATGAGTATATTGAGTACCTCCTTCGCCTCTCCAGTTATACGGCAAAGAATTTTGATGCCAAACTAGGCGTGAAAAATGTCCATGTATTTTGCTATAGTGTGAACCAATTATAAAATACTGGGTTTCAGGAAAGGAGACCTTCCTCAATAGTGGGACAAATGGGGGTAGAGTGGGGGAGGATGAGGGCAACCACGCCCATTGAACATCTTATGTTTACATTCTTGTCCTGTAGTGGCCCTTCATTGTGAAGTAAGAAAAACCATTTAAAGAGGAATAGTGCCACTGCCCCCCCCCCCCCCCGTTTAGTTTTCTAAAACAAGGTATTAACCCACTCATAGAATCATAGAGTTGGAAGAGATCTCGTGGGCCATCCGGTCCAACCCCTGCCAAGAAGCAGGAAAATTACATTCAAAGCAAATCCAACATATGGCCATCCTGTTTAAAAGTCTTCCAAGAAGGAACCTCCACCACACTCCGGGGCAGAGAGTTCCACTGCTGAACAGCTTTCACAGTTAGAAAGTTCTTCCTCATGTTCAGGTGGAATCTCTTTTCCTGTACCTTGAAGCCATTGTTCTGCATCCTAGTCTCCAAGGCAGCAGAAAACAAGGCTGCTTCCTCATCCCTATGACTTCCCCTCACATCTTGATACATGGCCCTCAGAATGTCTCCTCTCAGCCTTCTCTTCTTCAGGCTAAACATGCCCAGCTATTTAAGCCGCTCCTCATAGGGCTTGTTCTCCAGACCTCCTCTGGACACATTCCAGCTTAGAGTCAACATCTCCCTTCAATTGCAGGGCAGAGAACTGGACACAACATTCCAGGTGTGGTCTAACCAAGGCAGAATAGAGGGGTAGCATGACTTCCCTGGACCTTGACACTACACTTGTATTGATGCAGGCCAAAATCCCATTGGCTTTTTTGGCCCCCACATCATATTGTTGGCTCTTTTAGTAACACCAGAGGCACTCCAAGAGGCCAGCTACTGGTCAAATGACACTTAATCAAACTTGCTAACTTTGTGTTTTGTTTGTTTGTTAAAAATGCAATACAACTGTTTGGCTTGCTCCTGACACGATAAATAAATACATAAATAATAGGCTTGGGTGGTTTCGTTCGTTAATTTCGTAATTCGTTATTAATTCGTATTTAAATTAGCTTACGATCCAATATTGAGCCATGCAGGAATAGTGTGAGGAGTAAATTAGATTCGAAACAATTTTTTCAATTTATTTCGTAATTATTTTGTTATTATTTCATAATTATTTTGAAATTATTTTGTAATTACTTTGTAATTATTTTCGCATGTCTGGTGCAAGTTTTATAGTTGTTGTTTGTTTTATCACACCAACAGTCAACAACAGAGGGAGAGGGAAGCTTCAGAAGTTCCCCCTGTCCCATTTGGAGGTTTTTTTAACATATTGCGCAATCACGCCCGCCATTAATGAATCGATTCGTAATTTTACGAAATTTCGTATATTTCGACATTTTTAAAAGGAAAATGTCAGAATTATTTAAAAAAACGAAACGCAAGGCCCCCCTAAAAACAAAACGAGTTTAGAACCAAATTTTTCCATGGTTACCCAAGCCTAATAAATAAATCTGTCCCCAAAGTGGCAAAAAGTCTCTGCCAAATGTCATTGGCCTCCAAGACTACCAGAAATGAAATAGAAATTGTTTAGGTGAGATGTGCAACCTCTAATGTGGGTGAAAAATGGCCTGCAGCCCCCCTGCCTTATGGCAACCATTGACTTCAGCTGACCCCACCAACTTCAGAAAGCAATCAAGTCTTCACTTGGGAGGTCCTGTGATTCAAGAGACCGCATCAATTAGGAGGACAATGTCACAACACTGAATTTATTTATTCATAAATATTTCATCTTTTATTCTTTGCTTTAACTGTTTGGTAAGGAAGAAACAGGTAGGGATCATGAAATGGGATGTCCATACACAGGTAGCCTTGGAGTGTCCAACCCTACCAGCTTATCTAGGTAAAAAAAATATACAATGAGTAAAAGCACATCTATCCAGGAATATCAAGCAATATCTTGACAAATTTTCATATTATTCACAGAGGATATTTTCTAACAAGGAACTGGTGCAGTTGTCTCAAATTATGGAATGAATGCTATTAGATCTTCCATGTTAGACTGAGCAGTTTTGTCAAAGAATTCCGTCTTTCTTCAGTAGAGTCTAGCTCTATGGTGAAATGGTTGATGCCTATGGGTTGCACTCTAGGCACACAGACACCTTTTGTCTCAATGACTAGCTACAGCAATTCAAGCTAATGTGATGAAAGGCCAACTCTCTCGGACACTCCGCAAGCAGAAGGAGCTCCAGGTGTTGTTCCGGGTTCATTGGTTTGGGAGTCAGGGATCAAAAACTCCAGAAGAATGTCTGCAAGGCAGTAAACCATGTGCCTGAAGGAAAGGGGGAACAAAGAGGATTTTAAAAATCTGACAGAGATTTAAAGGGTGAGATTATAATAACTGCTAAGAGTAGTGTCTGATATTATTATTATTATTATTATTATTATTATTATCTCTATAGGGTTCTCAGTAGAGAAAAGGTGTGCAGAAGAATTCTACCATTTTTAAAAAGACATCATAAAGGGAGAGATATGCAAACAACCTAAAGAGAACAGAATGGGGAAATAATAATAATAATAATAATAATAATAATAATAATAATAATAATAATATATAATCTGCCACCATCTCCCCAAAGGGGACTCGGGGAAGCTAACATGAGACCAAGCCCCAAAATGATACAGCATGGTTAGACACAAAGCAAGAGATCTGCAAACAACCTAAAGAGAACAGAATGGGGAAATAATAATAATATAATTTATAATCCGTCACCATCTCCCCAAAGGGGACTCGGGGCAGCTAACATGAGGCCAAGCTCAAAAATGATACAGCAAGATTAGACACAAAGCAAGAGATCTGAAAACAACCTAAAGAGAACAGAATGGTGAAATAATAATAATAATAATAATAATAATAATAATAATAATTTATAATCCGTCACCATCTCCCCAAAGAGGACTCAGGGCGGCTAACATGAGACCAAGTCCAAAAATGATACAGCATGATTAGACACAAAGCAAGAGATCTGCAAACAACCTAAAGAGAACAGAATGGGGAAATAATAATAATAATAATAATAATAATAATAATAATAATAATAATAAAAAATAATTCGCCACCATCTCCTCAAAGGGGACTCAGGGCGGCTAACATGAGACCAGGCCCAAAAATGARACAMCATGATTAGACACAAAGCAAGAGATCTGCAAACAACCTAAAGAGAACAGAATGGGGAAATAATAATAATAATATAATTTATAATCCGCCACCATCTACCCAAAGGGGACTCAGGGCGGCTAACATGAGGCCAAGCCCCYAAATGATARAGCATGATTAGACACAAAGCAACAAAGAAATGCATCACAACAAAATATATACAATAAACAMAATAAAGTACACAGTGCAAAATATAATAATAATAATAATAATAATAATAATAATAATAATAATAGGTTCACTCACTTACTGAAACCACTGCAACCCTCATCCAATGACCAATAAAGACCAAACTTGGCACACAGAGCCCCCATGACCCACTGTACATRCTGCTGCAGTTTGAACGAGGATGGACCATGGAAGATGGGACTTGCAGTACCTTCACTCACTTACTGAAACCACTACGCCTCTCATCCAATCACTGATTAAGACCAAACTTGGCACACAGAGCCCCCCATGACCCACTGTACATCCTGCTGCAGTTTGAAGGACGATGGACCATGGATGATGGGACTTGCAATACCTTCACACATTTACAAATACTAACTGGTGAAATCACAAGCTGGAAAAAGTTACAGAGAATAAGCACGCCAAACTCCTCTGGGACTTCTAGATTCAGACAGACAGAGTTTTGGAGCATAATATTCCTGACCTCATGATCGTGTTAAAAAACAAAGTATGGATCATCAATGTCGCAATCCCAGGTGACAGCAGGATTGAAGAGAAACAACTGGAAAAGCTGACACGATACGAGGATTTAAAAATCGAACTGCAAAGACTCTGGCACAAACCAGTAAAGGTGGTCCTAGTGATGATCGGCACACTGGGTGCAGTGCCTAAAGACCTTGGCCTGCACTTAAAAACAATCGGCGCTGACAAAATTACCATCTGCCAGCTGCAAAAGGCCACCTTACTGGGATCTGCATGCATTATTCACCGATACATCATACAGTCCTAGACACTTGGGAAGTGTCCGTCCGACGTGTGATCCAATTCAACAGCCAGCAGAGTGTCTGCTGTGGACTCATCTTGTTGTGTTTCTAATAATAATAATAATAATAATAATAATCATCATCATCATCATCATCATCAAACACAAAGGGCGGGCCAAATGCATGAGATAAAATGTTAAAAACGTTAAAACCCTGGGTGAGATAGGAATGAAAAAAGTGTATTTGTAAGGAAGGAGTGGTTACCACTCTGAGCAGAAGTCCCTCTATGCTGCAGGCCCTGCAAATCCAATTGCTAAAGCACTACATTCCAGAGGATCCCCAAGGTCTAGTAATTGGACCCAACCTGAGGTTTTGTTCCTTAAGCGACCCACCTTACATATATCTTTATTTGCCTGTGAGGAGGCCACGTTGCCAAGGTTACCTGTTTATGATGGGATGCTGCATGGACTCCAGGACTAGGCTCCAACTTTGCCGACATTTACTGGTCCCAAGAACTTCTAGAATTAATTCTGTGGACATTAAAGATTGGCGTGAATTCCCAGAAATAATTTGACTCTTTGTCTATAATCCAAGGTGTGCGTGGCAAGCGTTTTCAGTATTGAGTTACCAAAAATATGTTCCGAACCGAACAAGTTATTGCCAGAAGTCAAATACCTCTCATACTTTCTGAATATAGGTCTCAAGGTTGTTTCTTTAAAATGAAATGCATTGCCCAGTTCTCCTAACTCCCAGTTCTAGAGATACGATTCTTGATGGGTTTTTTTTTGTTGTGTCAGGAGCGACTTGAGAAGCTGCAAGTTGCTTCTGATGTGAGAGAATTAGCCGTCTGCAAGGACGTTGCCAGGGGACGCCTGGATGATTTGATGTTTTTATCATCCTTGTGGGAGGCTTCTCTCATGTCCCCGCATGAGGAGCTGGAGCTGATAGAGGGAGCTCATCCACCTCTCCCCGGATTTGAACCTGCGACCTGTCAGTCTTCAGTCCTGCCGGTACAGGGGATTAACCCACTGTGCCACCGGGGGGTCCTTTTTTCTTGATGAGTGAAACAACCCTAATCTTGACAGGTCTGATGAAATGTCTTTAAGAAAATAGCACACTGGAATGCATAAGAAACCAGGTTTGCACCATATAAAAAGCCTTATAGGTGATGAAGCACACTCTAACATTATCTAACATTAGGGGCTGTGGTAGCACCCATGCAGCCATGCTGGCAAAACATGACCAGGAGAGTCTACGGACAATAGGCTCCTTGGCATGGAAAATGGAACAAGAGCTCCTCCTCATGGCCAGAGTCAGGGCCATAGCCAGAAAAAAATTTCGGGGGGGGGTTGAAAATTTCAGGGGGGGTTTGAAAATTTCAGGGGGGGGGGGTGAAACCTGCCTCCTAGCTCACGCTGAAGCAAAGAGCACAGGAGGGGGCAGAGCAGCCTTCAATAGCCTGCAGCTCCGCCCCTGTCAACCACCTCCACCAAGTCTGGCCTCCTTAATGAGAGCATTCAACACCCCCCCAACTTGGTTGCTTCACTACATCAGCTATTGCTGCAAGTAATGACAGTGTGAATAAATTGTCAATATTTGCTTGAGATAGTGCTTGCAGTTCTGGAGGGACTCTTAATTTTTTGCATCTCATAGACTTAGCATGGGGATTTGGTTAACCAGTTAAAATTCATGAGTAAACCAGGTTTTTTTTAACCTGAAAAATTTGGGTGATGGGGACTCGGTGCGGCTTACATGAGGCCAAGCCCAAAGCAACAATTATATCAAATAAAACGAAACCGAAAGCGCACATAATAAACAATAATAAAGCAATTTCATAAAACAAAAGACAACATAGCAATATAAAATTACAAAAAATACAACAAATTACAACAGTAAGCAATGTTTTAGCACTCAGGGGCAACTGGTTGCTCCTAAGTCAGTCTGAACTTTAAGGGAGATATCCAAGATACCAAATCCAATCTCCAAAATGGGTTCAGCACCTTGGATACTGCTTCTAAAGTTTGTACTAGCCCTAGGGTGAACTCATTGGCACACTGACATGGGAACACCAGTTGCCACAGGTCATATTCTTGATCGGAGCCCCCAGGGGTGCAGTGGGTTAAATCCCTGTGCCGGCAGGACTGAAGACCGACAGGATGAGCTCCCTCTATTAGCTCCAGCTCCTCATGCGGGGACATTAAAGAAGCCTCCCACAAGGATGGTAAAATATCAAAACATCTGGGCATCCCCTGGGCAACGTCCTTGCAGATAGCCAATTCTCTCACACCAGAAGCGACTTAGTTTCTCAAGTCACTCCTGACAAGACAAAAAATATATATATTCTTGATCTACCTGCATCCAGAAAAATATACCCACCAGGCAGGATTCCCATAAGGATCTGCAAGGCCTGTCTTTCGGCTGCCGCCTTCTGTTCCTCCGTCCTGAGGGGCTTGGGAACCAATGGCAAGACTCCGCCAGGCCATATCGACTCCTGGAGCAACCTGAGATATTGCACCCAGCGCTGAGTGCAGGTGAGATTGTCCACCTGGACCTCTAACCACCTACAGGTAAAAGAAAAAGGAGGAATACAAAAGTAGAAGAAATACAAAATAGGAAGAAGAAGAAGGAGGAGATGGTGGTGGAGGAGGGGAAAAAGAAGAGAAATTCTTGGTGAATATTTTGCAGAACATTGGTTTCAATTGACAAAGCTGATACCTCATGCCACCCCTTCTATTTAAACCTCCACTGATTTTCAATAGGCATATTGCACAGACAGTAAACAAGCTAAAAATATACACAGCGATGTGCCCAAACACTTGATGAGGGGTTTTTTTGGTTGTTATTATTTTGGGGCACTTGAGAAAGTATTTTCACCCTGGGATTTGGAGCAAAAAATAACTTGATTGTAAATATAAAAGGAAAGCTCACCCATTGCTGAGCCGTGACTTATGCTTCAAAAGCGAAACTGGCCATGCCAGACCTGAGCAGTTTTGAACCAGACAGTATAAAAAAAGAGACTGAAGGGCCAGGGGGAAGCCGAAGCAATGGGCACTGGCTTCCCATTTGGAAATGCATAGCTTGAACATGCCGTAATGGGGTCTGGGTTTGAAACAGACACTAATGGAGGGATGAGATTGTTTCTAAAAGAGTTTGGGTTTAATACCAACGATGACTGCAATTAAAAGCGGACAAAGGTTGGCACTGATGTATACCTGCCAAGGCCCTGTTCATCCGTCACTTTTTGTTACTGTCTGTTCATTTCCATTTTCAAGTGTGAAAGAAACAACAAGAGGGAAGAAAGAATGAAGCATCCATCTGCTTTGAACTCTTCTTCTGGGCAGAGAAGAGTATCTAGCCCAAAGGGGAAGAAGGCAAATAGCAGGAAGGTAGGCTTACGGAACTAATATGGAAGTGAGAACAAGGCTAAATGAAGGTGTCCCTCAAGAAGAATTTATTTTATTTATTGTGTCAGAAGCAAATTTAGGGTACAGTTGTATTTTATGTAAAAACACAAAGTGCAGTATGCAGCCTCAAGAAGAAGAATTAATATTATTATTAGTAGTATTTATATAAGCACTAAAGAACTTGCGACTTCTTTAGTGCTTATATAAATACTAATACTAACACTATCTGGAACACCTCAGCAAGCGAGAGTCCAAAAGTGGCAGGCTAAAACCCAGAACCTCAATAAATGGCTGATACCAAATGAGAGACTCCCTCCTGGGCATACAGAAAACTGAGTGACTTGGAAGATGCTGAACAGACTGCACTCTGGCACCAAGAGATCCAGATCCGACCTTAAGAAATGGGGCCACAAAGTGGAGTCCGCGACATACGAGTGTGGAGAAGAGCAAACCACAGCTGTTTGCTCAGCAGCCCTCTACGGGGCAGAGTGCTGGCCAGCAACAAAGAAACATGAAGAAGTCCTTAACACAATGGAAATGAAAATGCTGGGATGGACACTGGCTTGACACTTCTTGACCATGTGCCAAATGATGACATCCGTCAAAGACTAGGAATCAAAGCAATCAGCAAGAAAATGCAGGAAGCATGACTATCGTGGTACAGTTGGCCATGTCATAATAAGAGAATCAATAACAGTAGCACAAATATTTAGAGATGGCACGATAATGACAACGTGAACAGCCAAAGAAAAGATGGACACCATCAACGAAGACATGTGTGCTGCCAACCTGAGATCTGCGGATGCTCAAAACAAAGCTCAGTGGAAACGATAGTCACAATGTATTGTCGAAGGCTTTCATGGCCGGAATCACTGGGTTGTTTTTTCGGGCTATATGGCCATGGTCTAGAGACATTCTCTCCTGACGTTTCGTCTGCATCTATGGCAAGCATCCTCAGCGGTAGTGAGGTTCCAGTCAACAAAGACATGTGTGCTGTCAACCTAAGATCTGAGGATGCTCAAAACAAAGCTCTGTGGAAACGGCAGTCACAATGCTAACCCCTCCATTGGGAAAAATAGCTTAGAAAGAGGAAGTATTAGTATTTATACCCCACTTCTTCTCTTGCAAAAGAGACCCAAAACAGCAATAGCAAAGGACAACTCAGGAGTAGCAAGGTTTCTCACCCATTAAACAAGTAGGTCCTGCAATAAAATATAGTACAGAGTGGCCTTTCTGGTCATTCAGCCGTACTTCTTTCCATTTAGTATTTTGTGGCCACTAAGCATGCTCAATGCTTCTTGGGCTTCCCCTCCACTGGGATTTCTTCCTCCAAACTATGTTTATATTTCTGCAAACTTAAGATTTTTCCCTCCTTCTTTGATTGGATGAGGCTCTTTCGGTTGCGTATGAAATAGCACCAAGGCCTGCACTTTGGAAGTGGAGCAAAAGATGGCTGCTTTTTGCACAAAGTTGGTGATTTCACCTGCTCAGCATCTTCCAAAAGTTTGGTTTGAGCACATCACCTGGTGTCAGCTCCCTGATATTTGTTCCTGCTTTACTTTTTGTGCTGGGAAACTTGGACCCGGCATCAGCCCACAAAGCAAACAAAACTTTGCCAAGTGGGTTGCTAAATAGTGTGAGAGCACAAGAAAGAGGAGAAAAAATGAAACCACCAATAAATCAGCAAATATGGAGCACTCTGAGCCCTTCTCCAGCTTTCGCCAAGAATAGAGTAAAAGCAGTTCAGCATTTTACTGGAAATGTTCCTCTCGCCTACCCTGTAAAACTTTACAATGGTATAAACCGTGAACAATGTGTTCTGTACCCCTGGCTTGAGGACAATATGATGAAGTGTTTGTTTAGCAAGGCTGCACTCCTTCCTGACCCCGGAGAGAGAGGAGAGAAGTGCACTAAGCTCCCAACCACTTTGCCAGTTTACATCTGGAAGAAGGAATGGATGCCTCTGGACCAGGACCAGCTCTCCCCTTAAGATGGCATCTGCCAGGAGATGAAGAGAGTCTCTAGGATCAGATGGAGGATAGCTGAATCTTCTGGATAAACTCTTGTGTAAGCTTCCTGGTAGTGTAGAGGATGGCCATCACAAGAAAACCAGATGATGGACTAGATTAGGAATGGATGAGGAACATGTGGCCCTTGAAATGTTTTTGGCTGCCACCCAGCCATCATGGCCTGCAATAAAAAAATAGGGTGCTATTGTCCAACATCATCCAAAATCACAGGTTCTGGGCTCTAAGAGTGACTTCTCCTGAAGAATGAGGTCTGTTTTCTATAGGGGGGGGGGGGTTGTCACCAGTAAAGTCACTGTGTGAAGGTGAAGAAAAATATATTCTCAGCTGTAGTACCCTAATTATTGAATACCCAACCAAGGACTGATTGGTATAAACAACTGTAAATCAGCTTCTCTCAACCTGGGGGTTGGGACCCCTGGGGTGTCACGAAGGGGTGTCAGAGGGGTCGCCAAAGACCATCAGAAAACACAGTATTTTCTGTTGGTCATGCGGGTTCTGTGTGGGAAGTATGAACCAATTCTATCATTGGTGGGGTTCAGAATGCTCTTTGATTGTAGGTGAACTATAAATCCCAACAACTACAACTCCCAAATATCAAGTTCTTTTTCCCCAACCTCCACCCGTGTTCACATTTGTTCATATTAAGTATTTGTGCCAAGTTTGATGAATATGTTTATTCATATCATGATCTGATCACCCTACTCAATATATTCCATATGCATGGGGGTATTGGGGTAAAATACAAAAGGTTTGCTAGGGTAGACCCTCTTTCACTCAGACTCAGCCCCCCCCCCCCCCCCACCCAAAGTTCCATCACTGGTGGAGTTCAGGATGATATTTGATGGTAGCTTAACTATAAATCCCAGCAACACAACTCCCAAATGACAAAATCAATACCACCCTCTAACCCCAACAGTATTCAAATTTGGGCTTATTGGGTATTTCTGCCAAATTTGGTCCAGCGAATGAAAATGCATCTTGCATATCACATTATTTACATTATGATTCAAAACAGTAGCAAAATTGCAGTTATGAAGTAGCAATGAAAATAATTTTATGGTTGGGGGTCACCACAAACATGGTCACGGCATTGAGAAGGTTGAGAACCAACAGTATAAACACTATTTTATTGTGGCTCCAAGTAGGAAGGAAGAGGAGAGGAGGGAGTGGGATGCCTGATGTGGGTAATTCCCCCTTTGTCCATAATGTAAAACAAAGGATCAAGTCATACAAAGAATCAAGCAAAAGCAGCAACAATACAATCCTGGATCAAACGGGGCACCTGGGAATCATCTCTGCTTTGTGAGATGGAGTAAGCCCACTCACCCACCATATAAATTAGGTTCAGTTTATATTGGAAAAAGTGAACTGTGGGTTCTGTTTCTATCTTTTAGCTTGGATTCTGGGCACAAAATGCGTCAACACATCTCACAGCTCACTAATGGAGAATCATTAAAAAAGAGCAAAAGAGAAATTAATTGCAAACATTCTTGAAAAAGAATTCACTATCTGTTCCGATCAGCACAAGCTCTGCTTAATGTTTGGCCTGTCTTCCATTTAACCAGCCAGATAAGACTCTGGAATGGAGGATGCAGCAGTGCCTTCTCTGTCATGACCCCACCATCCGACAGAGTCTATTTTACATGCTGAAGGAGAATCATGCAAAAGTCACTGAACTTACTTTATGAGAAGTGCCCTTCATAGAATGGCGTAAATATTTATAGCATGACCTCTCTCATCCTCTTCTTTGACCAGTTCTGAAACTTGCATTTTAATTAAGTGTTGCTATTTGATGCCCATTTATGGAGGCAACATCTTATTTGTGTGTGCGTGGTGTTTTTTAAAGACTCCTAGAGTTCTTTTGATGAGACAAGATATGCTTCCAAGAAACAAAAGGTCAGTTCATCAAATTTGGTTCAAACATCAAGTGGAATGTTTTATAAAACCAAGGAAAGTGGGATGTAACTGGGAAGGCTTTTATGCAACTCAGTGCTTGGAATGAATGTATTAAAATGAACTCACTGCTCACAATTCATTAACAATTTTAAATGACGTTTAAAAACTGTCAACTATTTTCGCACAATTTAAACATTTTGGTTCAATACTATGGAATTTTGCACAGCATAA